CGCTCTTCATGGCGGGGGAAGCGGCTCCGGTCCCTGCGGGCGCGGCCTCTTCTGAGCTGAGGGGCTGTGTTTACCCCGGGGTTATGGAGCTTTCCCGGGGAGGGGGGGATAAAGGTGGATGGGATCGTGCAGGCCTTTCCCTGCCGCCGCCAGCTTTGCTTCTGCTTTTTCAGTAAAGGAAGCTAAGTGGCTCTGAGGAAGATTTTCTTTGCAGAAGGGGCTGTTGGGCGTTGGAATGGGCTGCCCAGGGCAGGGGGGAGTCCCCATCCCTGGAGGGGTTGAAGAGTCGGGCTGACCCAGCGCTGAGGGATCTGGTGGGGTTGGGAACGGTCAGGGTGAGGTTAATGGTTGGACTGGAGGAGCTTCAAGGTCTTTCCCAACCGAGATGATTCTGTGAGTCTGTAACGTTGCCTCTCTTGGCGTGGGCCACCGGTCTGGCACCCCAGAGCCTGCGGGGAGGGGGCACAAGCGCCGGTCTGACCCTTTCTGCTGGGGCACACCGGCTGCTCGGCTGCACTGGGCTCAGAGCCAGCGGCTGTCACCTCGTCTCGCCTTCTTCCTCCCCGCTAAACCTTGTTCTGTCGGGGAGTAGCAGGAAGACGTTCGTCAGTTTTGTATTTCTAAGTGGCACCGTTTAAATCCCTCTCTGTGACGGGCTAGGAGAGCAGTTCAGTTTAGCTTTGGTTGCCCTGAGATTTTTTTGTTACCATGAAGATTTGGAACCGATTTGCTTAATCCGTTTCCAACACCGTTCACCACAAAAAAACTCCAAAAAACTATAAACTGGTCCCATTAATTTTGCTGTAGAAAATACACTTTTTTTTTTCCCTCCCCTTATGTTTTCTGCTTTTCTTCTTGGATTGTGGTTTTTAGCACTGGGGAGATTTCAGCTGGAGTAATGTGTCCAGCTTTGCCGGTAATGTTCCAAAAAGAGGAATGTAAATGAGTAGGAGGAGCCCTCACGGAGGGAAAAATTACTGGCACAGATATGTGCTCTCATCCCATAGACAGTTCTCTTGCTTTTCTTTTTGGCTCACTTTTAATGGTATTATTAAAAAATAATTATGGTCTGTCCTAAAGCAAGTTACAAAATAAGCTTTTTCTAAGAATTATTGCTCCCCCCCAAGTCTACCACCACAGAAAGGACAAAATAATACCCTAATGAGCTGTGAAGGATTTCAGATTTTGAGATGTGTGGCAGCAGTTGTGTCTCAAAGTTTGCTATTTATGAGGATTCTTTCTGTCGTGGTTCTCCCTTTAAGTCAGGGCACTTGTACTGTAATTTGTAAGAGTAATTACCCAAAGTCATATACTGATACACTCAATAAGAATTTAGAAGCATTCAGTGTTTTGGAAACTGATATTTATGCTTCAGTTCCAACCTGTGTATTTGGAAGTCAAAATGGAGATATCTATGAACAATTTGGAGGGTTAAGTTTTCTTGCCAGAAGCTGTTAATTGTTAAAAAGCCATGATTTTAGTTAGCATTTTTTACTTATGACTTTACAAGAATGTAACTCATGTTATTTTAATTTCTAATGCAGGAAGTCAACTCAAGAAGATGAAGCCTAATAAAGGAAAGATCTGCACTAGGGAGAGAGACTATGTATACAAATTCAATGCTGGAAATCAGCACTTAGTGCTTACCGTGCCTCTCAAATTCCCTGTGCAAGAGAATATTAGTCATCTGCACGGCCGTCTAATGCTTCTGCACAATCTGCCATGCTTTATAGAAAATGGTAAGAGTTGATTTCTTAAATTAGTGTCATATACTGATGTCCACAAGCATCTTACAACCTGCTTTAAGAAACCAGGATAAGTGTGTTTACTAAGACATTCTTAAAAAAAGTTTTTAAACCAGCAAAACATTAAATAAAATTACTGTCGGTACTAGCAAGTAAGGTGCCCAAGTAAAAGCTTTTCAGAAAAACTTTATTTGTGTGTTTCCTAGATGATTACTGATACTTCCACTGACATGCTTTATTGATGGACCGTTCTCTTCTTGTTATAATAGACCTGAAGCAATCTCTTAATAAGTTCATAGAAGAGGAAACTATAAAAGATTATGATAGAGAAGCTGAAATAGCTCTGGAAGCAGTGAAATCAGGAAAAATAGACATAAACCAGCTGGCAGATACTTGGGCTAAAGCTTATAAAGAGGTAAGATTAAGGCTGAAAAGTTAATATTCAGGACTTGCTTTGTGAGAGTGTGTGTGCATGTACAGACAATCACACCTGTGAAGAGGGAAAATTACACTAAAATTCAGTTTTACTGATCAATTCTTACAATTTTTTCTTTTTATCTGAATGTGATCAGTAAGTCTTCATCATACAAGTTGCCAGTCAGCTTTTTCCTGGATTTAGTAGAGTGAAAAGATACAAAATTGAAAGGTAAGTAACTTAGTGATATTCAGACAGAAATAGACATAAGGATTGTAGTGTATTAGAATCAAAGCATTAGATAGTAAAGTGGTACTCTTATCCTAAATGTTAGTAATAGCAATGAAGACTCCAAGGAGAAAGTGTATAGTTGGGAGAGACTTTTCTGCTCATTTCCTGAGTTCATGTGACTGGTTTATGTTACTTAGTGTTGATGAGGCTTTAGCTGGAGTAACGAATCCAGTTTTGCATGTGATCTTCAAAATAGAGGCATGCAAAAAAACTGAAGGGGTCCTAGCAAAGAGCAAAAAAGAATGACAGAAACTGCAGCATTTGAGGAAAAGTTGATAGGAATTGAATTTGCTTATCATGGAATATAGAAGAATATTGTGAAAAATTCCAAAACATATGTCTGTTATAAAGAGAACTGGAATTAAATCATCTGCCTTAATGAACGCCAAAAAATCTGTATTGGGGGAGCATGGGACTGTGATAAAACATTGGAAGACTGTACAATCTTCAGTGCTAGATGTTTCTATGAATAGGTTAGACTGAGCACAAGGGTTAGGATTAGATTATTTAGATTATTAACCTATACTTCAATGATACAATCTTAATTTGTCTGCTGAATCTGGTGGGAATGATTGCAAATCTAAGGAGTGTTTCAGTATAAAAGGACTTGCAAAACTGGCATCTCTGGGACACTTATTTGTTCAGTAAAAACGGCTTTTCTTAAATCAGTGTTGCTGATCAAATTCTAATGACATTGGAAGTTAGTCATCCTTTCTAGCAAAACAGTTTTGTTTCCACAGCTGATATTTTGGGCCCTATCTAAAATTAATCAATTGCAAACATTGTTGTAGATATTATTATGCTTTCCAAGTTGGTGATGTCTGAAAATTGGTAATTCCTCACTGTAGCCAACACCTTAATGTTTCTGCTGTTAGTTGTTTTGAAGGAGAAAGAATATGGTAAGGGAGAAAATGTTGAAGCTGAAGCAGAATACAGAAAGTTCAAATTAGATAATCAAAAAGATAAATCATGTGTGTTGAAGGTTGTGCAACAGTGTGCATGCCAGCTGGATTTGCACTACCATTATGAGGGATCCTTATGTCCTAAATGGTACCATATGCTTTAAAAATCTCTTATAATTTTTAGACAACGTTAGAATATGCAAAACCTGAAGAAACCAGCTGGGATGAAGATTTTGCAGATGTTTATCATGATCTGATACATTCTCCAGCTTCTGAAATGCTGTTAAACCTGGAACACAATTATTTTGTTAGTATCTCAGAACTAATAAGTGAAAGAGATGTGGAACTGAAAAAACTACGTGAAAGGTATTCCTTTTTTTTTTTCATTTTTCTTCCCCTTATCTTATTAAAGAGGGGTGCATACGACTGGGTGTATACTCATGGGACAACGTGTATCAACTTGCATTCATCTATGTAAGCCCTATTTCAGTTTTAGATTTCCCTCTTTAAAGTTATATAATACTTATTAATACTAATTGTTACTGTCAGCTATCTTATATTCTCCTCAGTCACTGAAAATAATAAAAGCTAAGGCCATCAAAGTAATACAAGGTTTGATTTCCATTGTTTTATCCACGTTGGAAGTGGTATAGCAATGTAAAGTGCTTAGGATATCTAGAAAATGAAGTACATGTATGTACCATGTTTTGCCTTTGTTATGGTGTAATTTAAATTAAACACTGGAAGTTCTGTGGGGGGAAAAGATGAGCAAAAAATCTTGAGCCAACTTTAAATCAGAAACTTGAATATGAAATTTAGGAAAGTCTATGTGGAATCCTGAGTTTCCGACTAAGCTTGAATAGCTGAAGGTGGCTGCTTTGCCCACAAGAGGGAACACTTACAATGCGGATTTTTCTTTCCTCTTTTTTTTTCTTTTTTTTCTACGGAGACTAGGTTGAGGAAAACGAATGCACACAAATATAGATATAGCATAGATATTAAATACTGTAGATGCTTGCAAGGTGCCAGAATATTCTAAGTAGGTCTGTTTTAGCATTCTAAGTGACAATATTCCTCTTGGATTGTGCGTGTTTAATCTCGCATTATACAATGCATATCTGTTTATATAGTTTCTTCTAGACTGAATCATACATATTTCTTTCTATAAATGTTGCCAGTAATGTGTTAGCGATGCTTTTTGCTGCTTATCGACTCTTCTCAAGTATGCATATAGAAGAAGGAGCAATTAATCCTAAGAGTAGTAATGCTGTAGAGCTCTGGTGTGATGTAGCTGTATAAATGACTCCAGTGGAATTTATCGTATCAGTCTGTTTTAATCAAGGAGCTCCATACGTTGGTGACAGCTGATGCTGTCCCGTATGAGCGTAGATGTTGTTCTGTTTACACAGAAACTGACTTGGAATCCCCGACCCTCAACTCAAATTTGTTTTGTGGGTATTCATTACTAAATCTGTGCCAGGGTAAATCGAATGTGAAAGACTAAATGAAGCCAGGGATGAAGAAGACTAAGGAGGGACTAGGTAATGGTTGAACTGATAATAGCAGGGCAACCCTTTAACTCCAGGTCCCCTTATTGCATGTAGTTTGAGCTGGAAGCTCATTTTACTATTAAAAATAGGTACATTTAGCCTCCTTCCTGGTGTTTACCTGTCTGCATCAGCTGTGGTCAGGGCGGGAGGAAAGCGAGGGACTGAGTAGGTACATTTCAAAAACTCTCCTACAGATAAGGATAGCGAAGTGCTACATTAGAGTATCTGGAGATACTGTTGTACCTTTTGAATAAATGTGAGGGCAGACTTCAAACGTACAAATTCCAATTCCAAAATGAGCAGATGGACAAAGTACTGCATGTCATATCTTCCAGCTTTGTGTTCAGTTGTACCTCTGCTTTGTGATGAGCATTGACCAGCTGCCTGATAGAGCTGATCATTGTATCAGTAACTGTATCAACAACAATAGGTGTTCTTCTACCAGTGTTTTTTAAAAGCGTTGCTTGTGGTAAATGTACATTTGCTTCTCTTTCAGACAAGGAGCTGAAATGGATAAGGTGATGCAAGAGCTAGGGAAATCGCTAACAGACCAAGATGTAAATTCATTGGCAGCTCAGCATTTTGAATCTCAGCAGGTAAACTAAGTTCAGTGCGCTAGAATACATCACGCAAATAATTGTCTTAAAAAGAAAACCCAAACCACTCAAATTATCACTGTCATATTGTTAGGATTTGGAGAACAAATGGACCAATGAATTAAAACAGTCTACTGCTATCCAGAAGCAGGAATATCAGGAGTGGGTGATAAAGCTTCACCAGGATCTAAAGAATCCCAACAACAGCTCAGTCAGGTATTTAATTCCTCTGCAATGCTTGCTTCCATCTGTAGTAGTTCAAAGTAATTGCTTTTGTATAATCTTTATTTCAGATTAGCCATTTAAACAGGGTAATCAAAGCAAATCAAAGGCAAATAAACCATCACAATTAAATATTTATATTTTTAGGATTTTTCTTCATTGTTGTAACCTTTCTGTACCAGAAAGTGTTGTAATTAAACTACAACTTGAGCTGAATAGGGTTTTCTCGTATTTTGCCTTTATTTACAATGCCTGTCTTTTAACACCATTTCACAAGGCTTTCTGTTACCACTTAAGGATGTTCTGCAGAATTACTTGTAGCTTAATAAATGGTAACAGTGTAGCATGTTTTGAATTAATAAACGTCTCTTTCTTGTTTTGTTTTGGTTTGCTTTATGTATGCTCACTGGATAGCTAAAAATGTAATTTTTTAGTCTGAACGCTTGTGATGAGAATGAAAAACTTTCTCACTGAGGAAATCACAGGGAACTTCAGAATTTGTATCTTGAAGAGATCCTTTTTTTTTATAATTAGTAACCAGCAGCTTTGCTACTGACAGGAAAATAGAAGAAGTAAAACCTGATGCTTTCTCATGCCTTGCATTAGTAGAAGAGCCTCTCTGAGTAGATTTAGGTGGATACAGTAAGGAGTTTATGGGAAATGCAACACCTTTGAACCACGTGGATGCCAGTGATAAGGAGACAGGCATGGATCATAATGCATGAAATACTTCATCACTTTCTCTTAAGTGTTTCCTTTTGGGATAAGGAAGACGAGTGTATGGAACATGACGGAAGAGAT